TACTCCAACTGGTATGTAATATGTTTTAGTTGACATTGTTCCTAGTAAATGACTAGCTTATCCAGATATTACACAATTCACTGATATTCTTTTGCCAGATGTATCAAATCACACATAATTACTCAATAAAGTCAAGTTTGCAACCACTTTACTGGTTACTTTCAGTTGTTTGGAAACATTTGTATTTAAAGTTATTTTAAATAAAAATTACATAATAAAAAGAAAAAGTTAAAGATTCCCATTTAAATGTATTTTAGACCAAAGTTATTGTATTCATTGATATGCATAATCAAATTAAAGAAAAGAAATACTCAACTGAGTATTGCTGTATGCAATATAACAACAAATCACAACACATAACCTTCAATTTATAATTTAATATTAACAGAGGAATATGGATACTGCAGAGTTTACTCCATGTATTTTAAGTTAAAAAAGAAAATTCTTAACAAATAAAACATAACTAGTAATAAATTTAACACATATCTTTACTTAGTGATTCCAAAGGAGTGCAGAGGGTTAAATACAGTTTAAAAAAATGACTTGCATGTACTAATGCAGTGGCATTTCACCACATATATGAGCTGTGGAACCATAGACAATTGTTTAACACATATATATTTAGTTCACAACAAATTCCTTAACATTTGACTGTGCAATGCCTCAATGACTAGACTTATGAGTGGAGACAGCCTTTAATGTCCTTGAAAGCAGTAGAAAAACACACAGCAGCAGCTTTAGGTCAGCAAGAACTCTGAAACTATACCTTAAGCCAATACAAATCAACACTCTCATCCATAAGGTGAAGGCCATGGTTATGAAAGAGAACATTTCAACCCTAACAGAGCTACCATGATGAAGCTAGGCATATCTCCTATATTGTTAATATGATAAAGAAGAAGGATTTAAAGTTCACAATATTCTAGCCATGCCTTAAAATCAATGGCTGCTTTCATGTGAAGAATGGTCAAAGAAACTGGAATCACAGCAATCTAATTTGACTACATACCTATTAAGTCCTTAATGCAACTCCAATTGACTTTAGTGTCTTAATTTGGTTTGTTTAGTAAACATGGTCTTGGAAGTTGACTTTCATACATAGTGGTGGATCGAAGAAAAGACCTTTGAAATATATGGTCTAATACTGACCTAAGCTTTATTTGAAGAAACTTATTACAAAGGAAATTGTGGTGTCAGGCAATAGTGCATCATCATAGCTATCAGATTAGCATGATTAACAGTGAAAAAAGTAGTTCCAAGAGCAGTATGTGATCTGGAATGTAATTCTTATAGGGTGTAATCAACATTCAATATTGAAAATAGTTTTTGAAAAGTAAAAATCTTCTAACAAACAATATAGCAGTGGAGAAATTCTATATTCCTTCCTTAAAAGTAAGCAAAATTGAATAGCAATAAAATAAAGTCACAACAAAAAAAAAAGGCGAAAATAAACTTCTTTTTTATTTAATCTAAACAGAAATTACATTTCAAACAAGAAACATCAAAATTCCCACCTGAAAGTTGAAACTGATTTTATCTATAGACACAATCTGCCTACGGGCATAGTTCTGTAGTGTACCAGTAAGGAAAGCCTGTGGGAAGAAGAATCCACTAATCCAGTATACAGGAGGAATACCATGGTTTACCCACTGTTGAAAAAAGTCTAAGCGAGCTACCAGATCAGATACCCATGATGACAGAGGCTTCAGTGAAGGATAAGCCTGTTACAAAAAAACTATATAATGATAATATCTAAAAAAAATAAGAATTACTTTATTATTAAAGTGAACACTCTAATAAAATTTCTAAAATAGGCTTTGTTGTAAACAATAGACACATTCTGGTTAACAGTCGACTGTTCACAAGTACTAATCTCTAAATGACATAAAAACAAGTAGGTATTCTGGGCAGTGGTGTAGCAAGGGTTCTCAGCACCCGGGGGCAATGACACTTTTGGTGCCCCGCCTCTAATATGTTTTGATTATTTGTTTTGTGACTCATTACCTACTTAATGACAATAACATAAAGAATTAATTACCACCTTACACAGGCCTAAAATAAAGTCACAATATAACATCTCACGATATCACAACTGTAAACCTGGAACTAATGAAGTACAGCCTACTAGGTGTACTTACATAATTTGTAAACCATTTTGATATTTATGTCATCCAATATTGTTCAAAGTCACATAGCTAGAGTAATCTTTCAAGCATGCAGAATAAATTTCTGTTATATCTCTAGTTTTGAAACTTATGTTTTATATAAGAAGCCAGTCACATGTGGTGTACAGATTGATAAAATACTACTTAAGTTTACAAATAACAAATTTTATTACTTTACAAAACTGTACATATACTTAACTAGATCTTGTACAGGTAGCATTCTGGTATTCATGGTTACATTATATGAACCTTTCGTGCTTTTGCTGCCGCAAATGCATCAATTAAACTATCAAAATTTAAGGTATTAAGTACATCTTTTTCAATACTTAATATTGCCAAGTTACTAAGTTGTTCTTGAGTCATTGAGGTTCTCAAGTATGTAAAAATTGATTTCAGCTTGCTGAAGGACCTTTCATAACTAGCAATAGAAACCCCAATTGTTAACAAATTCTGCAATGCAATTCTTAAACTTGGGAAAACATCTTCACCATATAAAATTATAAATGGTAGCAAATCAGTTGCAACCATTGGTTCAGGAAAATCGGTCTGTGTTCTTTTACTTATCAACATTCTACAATCTTTAATTTCTCTGTACAATTCTGGTCCATCAATATCACCTGGATAGCTCTTTGCTAAGTCAGAACATTTTTCTTGCAATTTTCCATCTTTGAAATCTCCAGAAACAATATTTTGCACATCTAGTAGAAATCCAAACTGTTCATCTAAATCTAGTAAGCGAGAAAATCTTCCTGTTATTTCTGTAATCAAGTAATCAGTAACATCCTTAATGATGTGATAAATTTCCTGTTCAGCAGTCAATCCAGCATCAGCTGCATTTTCACCTGGCATTCGTTACAACGTATTTTTTCTTCTTTCAATGATCAATCCCCATGTTTCACATTGATTCTTGCCCACTTTAAGTGCTTGTTGACAGG